GGTGAGGTGGGGGGAGGGAACCAAGGCTAGGGAGAAATGGTTGCTGGAGGGAGTGGGGGGTGGCTGAAGGGGTAGTATGAGGGTAGATGCAGAGTTGGGGGGAGTCTGCATCGGGTTAGGAGCGCCCCCTAACCCGAATATGTTTGGGCTATACTGCTCCCCAAAGTTGCTCTGATAGTTGGAAGCTCAGTGTGTATGGTGGGGTGCAAGGGAGTCTGATGGAGCGGCTGGTGGGTGCTGTGGTTGGGGGGGGGGGTCTCTGCATTTCCCCGGGGTCCTGACATCTCTGTGAACAGCCCATTACTTGTGCTTCCTGAACTCCCATTTGCGTGTGTTTCAAGCCTTGTGCCTGCACACACGATGGGGCTCTGGCCTGGCAGCCCCATGGGTCTCAGCCACAGGCAGTGGTGACAACATTTCTGGTTAGTGCCTGTCAGTCCCCCAGCTGAAATTTCCATTTATCCCTGAGTCGGTCAAAGGCTGCCAGGATGGAGAAGAGCTGGGGGGAGGGGAACTCCAGAAAGGCACTGTGGGTCTGAGGGAGGAGGCTGGGTTCCGACCCTCTGGGTTTGAGGGAGGAGGCTGGATCTGAACTTCAGGGTGAGGGAGGAGCGCTGGGGCCTGGACACCACTTGGTCTGGATAAGAAGCCCCTCAGTCTCCCACGTCTTACCCTGCAGTAAAGCCTATGCCTGCTGCCCCCTAGTGGACATGGAAATTGGGTTCATGAAGGGATAGTTGCTGACCATGGTAACCCAAGAGCGAAGCCAGAGGCACTGACCCAAGAGGAAAGAAAGACAGATTAGAGAAGGAAGTGGGGGTGTTTGGGGGGGGGGGAGACCGGAAAGAGCTGGATGAAAAGATAAGGACTGAGATAAACAGGGACAGAGAGACAGGCTGGTTTTCAAAGAGGAAAGGACAAACTGGGGGTGGAGGGGATATCACGGAGGTGGTGGTCCACCAGGAGCGGTGGGCAGAGACCAAGAGCATCAGAGGTTGTCGGCCAGACGATGGGTTGCAAGACCTGAAGGGATTCTGTGCGATGGAGCCATGGGATCCGGAGAGTTAGGGTGAGGGAACCCTGAGGACAGGTCCAGAGATGGGAGAAAGAAATCACAGGGGGTAGCCAGGGAGAAGAGGGGCGGGCAAGGGCGAGGGCGAGGGAAGACGCTCGTGGAGAGAGGTGTGGGCTGAAGCACAAACAGGAGCTCACACCTAGAACGACAGGAAAGAAGTGGACAAAGACAACGGAGATATGGATGGGATGCTAAGCCCCACACCCAAGCCAAGCAGGCAGCTAAGATGGAGCAGAGGGTGGCACGTGGGGGCAACACAGGCTCGATCTGGGCGCTGAGACACTGCAGTCTGGTGAGGTCATCCAAGCTGAGAGGCTTTGGTGGCAAAGCTCAGGAGTAGAGCTGGGGACAGGGGCTCCCTTTGCCTAGGGTCTCTGCCTGCCGCGTCCCCTCCCAACCCACCCCCCCACCCGGCGGGCTGCCCGGCGGAGGCGACAGATTGAGCGATGAGACGCATTACGCACTTAATCCGCCTGATTGAATGTTTTGCTTTCGCCCAAATTGAAACATTAAACAACACGGGACGAGAAGAGGCGGTCGCAAATCACTCATGAAAGATTCATCTTCTCCCAGGCAGCCGCCACTGCCGCCCGCCTCTGCCGCCGCCCGCCCCAGCCCGGGAAGCTTCTCAGGGTGGGGGTGGGGGCTGGGGCAACACCCCTGCCCACCTTGAGTTTCCCCTTCCTCCCAACCTTCACAACCCAGGAAGTCCTTCTTATTGTCTGGCCTCCATCCCACAGGTCGTCTAACTTCTGGGCCAGTTGGACAGGGTGACCTTGGTGCTGTCCTTGCCTCTGTCCATGGGGAGCCCTTTTCTCATTTATGGGGTTCAGGCAGAGGACTGACAGTTTTCAGCTGTCTACGTACATCAGCCCCAGTTCTTGGGGATATGTAAAGTTGAGGAACAGGAACCTCTTCCAGGGACCTTGGTATGTTTTAGACCCAGAGTAAGGAAGGGTGATGTCCTGATGGCCATGGCAGGAGTCAAGGATGAATGGAAACGGGGTGCAGCGAGTCTGCCCTCTGCCCTCAGCTCAGTCTGTCTGCAGGAACACTTTATGTTTTCTGATTCTGGTTCTGTCTGTGCCACCACCCCATGCTTGTGTGACCTTGTGTGTGTGTGTCTATACCTGGGGCCTCAAGATGCCTGCTGGCCTGGGTCTGAATGTCACTGCCTCTCTGTGTAGGACTTTGAGTCTATATGAGTGTCAGGGAGTGACTTGCAGTGGGCACCCGTGTCTGTCGGTCTGTATTCGTCTGTGTGTTGTTCCCTCCGGGCTGGTAAACCACTTCTGTGTCTGGGCCTGTTCATGTCTGTCCTTGGGTCTCTCTGTTTCTCTCTGTCACTGACCGATGGGGCACCTGCTGGGATCCAAGAGGAGGGACCAGAAAGAAGGCCAGGGGCAGGGAGAAGGGAGAAAGACAGACAGAGAGAAAGACGGTGAAGGCGACGCTGAGCGCTGAGCGCAGGGAGCAGAGAGCAAGTGCGAGGCAGCTTGGGGGGGGGGGGGCTTCGTGGGCGCCACGGCCAGAGCGGGTGATCAATATTCGATTTAGGTTTTAATTCCGGGGCTTTCGGAGCCTGTCAGCCCTGATGTATGAGCTCACACCGGGGCCGCCCAGCCAGCCACCCCACGGATGCCCATGGCCTGGTGGCCTGTCCTGGCCCCAGCTTCCTGCCCCTCTGGCAGTGGCAGGCCAAGAAGGGGTAGAGGCGTGAACTTGAGCCAGGTTGCTCACGCACTTATCTGCCTTTCCCTGGACCTATATTCCTCCTTTCCCCAAGCAATGTTCAGGGAGACAGCAGGGGTCCCAAGGTCCTCACTGTCTAGGGACACCAGCCTGCCAGGCAGCACTGGCCACACACACACATATCCAAACATCACATGCTCACACAGGGAGCTCTGTACACATACATCGCGCACATGCACCAACACACACAACCCAACATACTAGTGTCCGTACACACTGGGACTCAGAACACTTGTGTACACACAAACCCTGGCACATGCAATCCAAACATACATGTATCCACATACCCCTGGATTCAAATTTTCATGCATACACAGACTCTGATACATGCATACAAGTCCAGCACACACACATCCTCACACTCAGGGACACACATCTCCACATACACAATCTGACACATGTGTCCACTTACAGAGTCTGACACATATACATGCATCTACATAGAACCCCACTTTATACTCAGACACAAAAAAGTTCCATGTTGATTGGGGCTTAGAATGATGGAAGACACTGGGCATCTTTAACCCCATCCCAGCACTTAGGAGGCAGAGGCAGGTGGATCTCTGTGAGTTCGAGGCCAGCCTGGTCTACAGAGTGAGTTCCAGGACAGCCAGGGCTGCACACAATGAGACCCCGTCTGAAAAAAAAAAAAAGTGGAAGACAGCATTCTGACAAGAGCCAGAGCCAGACACACAGACTCCAGGACAAACTGACGCCGTGACAGACTGAAAAAAGTAGGACCAGTTGCAGAAACAAGGGAGACTGGGAGGACTCCAAAAACTCCCAAAGGGCAGAATTCTGCTGGGGGGATGGAAAGCCCCCCTTCTCCACATACCCCCCTAAATCCTGTCTCTCTCTCTCAGGAAGATGGATCCACCACCCTCCCTGATGACAATGCTGTCTGCGCAAACTTTAATTAACACTTTGAGTTAATTAGTTCGAGATCATTTAGGAGTAAAATGTTTTTATTAGGGAGGCTTCGAGCCTGTTGATGGATGGGGCGCGATTCGCTCTTCCGCCTGCGGGGACAGCCGGTAAACAGAAATCAATCAGGGGCCTCCCAACCCAGCCCCCCCAATGCCAAGCTCCCAGCCTGGGGCCCAGGAGTCCCAACTCCCAGCCTCCAACTTCCCAAGAACCCAAGACTCTGTTCCCTTAGACCAAAGACTACAGCCTAACCCTCTTCCCTCAGACCCAAGAGTCCAGGCCCAGCCCCCCTCCCTCAGACCCAGGGGTCCAAGTCCAGCTCTCTTCCCTCAGACCCAGGTGTCAAGGCTTAGCCCTCCTCCCTCAGACCCAGGGATCAAGACCCCAGCCCTCCTCCCTCAGACCCAGGGGTTCAGGCCCTGCCCTCCTCCATCAGACCCAGGGATCCAGGCCCCGCCCTCCTCCCTCAGACCCAAGAGTCCAGAACCCAGCCCTCCTCCCTCAGACCCAAGCGTCTAGACCCCCAACCCTCCTCCCTCAGACCCAGAGTTAGACCCAGCCTTCCTTCAGCCCCTGTTCATTGTTGGATCTCCCTAAGCAGTAGGTCCCCGGGTCTCGGGGACTCTCTGGCTCCCAGTATTCTGGCAACCCGGTAGGGTCTCGGCCCTGCCATCGTGGAGGTCGCGCGCTGCCCCTCCCGCCGAGGTGACGGCTTCATCAGGTGTCCGCGGGCGGACGGCGGGGGCCGGGTGCGGTGAGGCCCGGCCAGGGGGCGGGGGCTCCGGGGCCGATAAATCTTCATCAGTCGGCGGCGGGGGGGGCCATTAGGCGCTAATGGGAAGATGGAGGGGCCTGTCGGCCGTGCGGGCCGGGCCTCATTTGTCCTGCTTCCCGCTCCATTGGCCGCCGCCCCCGCCCCGCCCCTCCCCCGCCGCCGCTGTCGCGCTCTCCCCATTTCCGCTTGCAACCCTGGCGAGGGACTTGGGGGGCACGAGGGGTACCCGGGGGACTGGAGAAAGAGGAAGTTGGATTGCAGGGGCAGAGTTAGAAACGGGGAGGCGGCCTAGGATAGGGAGGGGGGAAAAGGGGTGATGGAGCCCAGACAGCTCAGAACCTGGGCGACTCAGGATACAGGGATTAGAACGTAGGCGGAGGGGTGACAAGAGCGCTGGCAGAGAGGTTCGAACGTAGGCGGGGGGGGGGGGGGCGAAAACCCGGGCCGGGGGGCTCGCCCTCCCGCGGGGGGGGGCACTAGGACTCTGGCAGAGAGGTTTGAACACAGACGGGGGACTCGGGGGACTAGAACACTGGCAGAGGTATGTGTTCAAACGCGGGCGGGGCAGAGTAGGAGGTTGATGGGGCAACCAAAACGCGGAGTGGGGAATTAGAATGAATCGGGAGGACTAGAACACAGACGGAGAGAGGAAGATGAAATTGGGGAGAAGAGCTATAACTCTGCGGGGTGGGGGTTAGAACCCGGGCGAGGGGACTAGAATGCCGACATGGGGCCTAGAACGTGGGTGGAAGGAGAAAAGAACACGGGGAGAAGGGCTACAACCTGAGGGGATACAACTTGAGGGGATAGAATTAGGACGCAGACGGGGGCTGTGTACACAACCAGAAGGGACCTGCACCGTGATTGGGGGGGGGGGGGAGCGGGGACCAGGCGAAGATGCGCTGGATGGGAGTTAAGAGAGAGGGTCGGATCTCTGGATGTGGCCTCCAGGGCGGGGGCCCGACAGGCAGGCGGGCGGCATCCCTGGAGGCCGAGGCGCGGCCCCCACCCGCAGCCTTCGCTGCCACCCGCTCCCGGACTCGCGCCCCCAGCGCGTCCACTCTGATTTCTCGGCCCATTTTTCTTCCTCTGCTGTCACTCCGGCGCTCGCCCTCCCGCCGCCGGCTGCCCCGCTGCGCTCCGCTTCCCGCGGGATCCCCAGCTTGCAGCCCACCGCTGCCGCAGCAGCGCCCCACCTCATCTCACCACTGTCTCTACTGGCATGTATTCTAGGCATGTGACCCCCAAGAAAGTTACCCCTGATTGAGCTGTCCCCCTGAATGTTTTGGAGGGTGGGGTGCTGCCTTGGGAGCAGCTCCCTGAACTGGCACAGAACCCAGAGGCCCTAATGTCAGATTTCCATAAAAGACTCATTAGATACCCACACCAGGTGGGTGAAGCCCTCCTCCCCTGAGAAGCCGGCAGCATCAAGTCCAGGTCTCCAGTTGGGTTATCTCAGGTCACCTGGATAAACAACCACTTCTCTAAGTGTAACCCAGCCTCAGACACCCTAACCAAGGACTCCAGGCCAGTCCCTAAGGATACAGAAATGGTCTTCCCAAAACCAGTACCAGTAACTTCACGAGTCACCTCTAAACTAGCACTCGCTCCCCAAATTAGAAACGAGGGTCCTGAAATGGACAAACAAATTCTGTTTTCCTCAATGAATCTGCAAGGCCTTAAGGTAGATCACTCATGGTCTGGCCAACCGACCTCCACTCCTCACATGACCCCATTTCAACACACTCAGACTACAGTATTCGACTGACACTCCCTAAACCGTGCAACTGAATCTCCAGTGTCAGTTCCAAAACTGGGCCCCATCCATGGTAAGTGTTCCCCAAAGTAGACATTCTGGTTCCTTAGTCTTTGTCACTGCGCTAAGATCAGGGGCCCCAAGTGTCCCTGACTCTGGTCATCTCACTAGATGGTGTCACCTCCAAAGGTGACATCAGGGCAAGATTACTAATACCCTAAAAGACATGTGTGTGGCTTTTGTTTGGTTTCTTCTGTTTGGAGACAGGCTCACAGGCCAGCCAGCAATCCTCCTGCCTCAAACTGCTGGTCTGGGTTTACAGGTGTGCCCCACCACTTTGGTAATGCCTTATGCTCTCTTGCCCTGGCTTCTCCTCCTTAATATATACCCCTGAGTTTTCACCTCAGTCACCCCAACTCATGAGAAAGTACCCCAGCAAGTTGGCTAATCTCCCTACCTCAGACAGTCCCAATGGGTTATGCCCCCAAAGCCCAATAAACAACCTACACTTGCCCCCTATATTGTTAGGACCCCATTCGACCTCATTATGCCCCAAAGTAGGCAAGTCAAGCCTCGCCCCCTATTTTAGGCACCTGAAGCTATCTCTCAGGGTCAATCATTCCTCATCCAAACATCCAAATTCTCATAACAAGAAGAAGCCTCCCTCAGGATGCTTGCTTCAGACTCTGCAGCAGCTGTCTGAATGCTGGTCTCCTCAGAAGATATAACCATGCCCAAATCCTAGAACTTGCTAACATGATCTATTAGAAGAAGGGTAACCGTGTGGCAGTGATTGTGCACACCTTTAATCCCTGCATTTGGAGGCAGAGGCAGGTGGATCTCAGAGAGTTCGAGGTCAGCCTGGTCTACAGAGTGAGTTCCAGGACAGCCAGGGCTGTTACTGTTCGAGAAACCTTGTCTCCAGGAATGAAGGAGGAGAAGAAAGGGGGATTAGCCAAGGTGAGTAAGGGAGACTCTTGAGATGAGGTCATCTGGCACCCTCCTTTACACGGGTGTCACATGAGGGACAGAGGGAATCCAGGGATAGAGAGAAGAGCTGGGGCCATGTGACGGTGAGGCCAGAGTGCTGCCTTCACAGACAGGAACACAAGGGGTTTGCCCGGATCTGGAAAAGACCAGAGAGGCTCCACCCTGGTGCTTTGGGAAGGAACATCACCCAGGCCCCACTCACCTTGAATTTGGACTTCTGGTCTCCCCAGTTATGTAGAGAATCATTGGTTTGTTTCTTGAGATCAGTCACTCATGCTGTAGCCAAGGCTATCCTCCAACTTGCAGCAATCCTCCTGCCTCAGTCTTCTCAATGTTGGGATTACAGGTTTGTGCCATCACATCCAGCTGGGGAGAATTCATTTATGTTTTATGAACCAGGGCAGTGACTTCTGTTCTAAAACCGTTACAGTAGCCACAAGAAACGGATGTAGGGGCCAGAGAGATGGCTCAGTGGCTAAGAGCACTGACTGTTCTTCCAGAGGACCCGGGATCAATTCCCAGCACCCACACAGCAGCTCTGAAACCCCAGTTTCAGGGGATTCAACACTCTCATACAGACATACATGCAAGCAAAACACCAATGCACAAAAAATAAAAAATAAATTGTTTTAAAAAATAAAAAGAGACATGAGCTTCAGGCAGTAGGGGCAAACGCTTTTAATCCCAGCACTTATGAGACAGAGGCGGGCGAATCTCTGTGAGTTCAAGGTCAGCCTGGTCTATAGAGCAAGCAAGTTCCAGGACAGGCTCCAAAGCTACAGATAAACCCTGTCTCGAAAAGCCGAAGAGAGAAAAGGAGAGATGAATGTAACCCCTAATCTAAACCTCACATCCTTGGACTAGTGAACCCCTAAAACTAGGAATGTGGACTCTCATAGACCACACCCTAAACTGGCCTGAGTTCCTCAGACTGGGCACTGGGTCCCAGCCCTGTTACTCACCACTGTGGCGGCGGGGGACTCACATTACTCCTCGAATGTGTCAGAAAAGTACAGCCCCTGAGCATGCACATGATAAAGCTACTCCCACTTCTGAATAAACACCAGGGGCCGCTGACATGGCTCAGTGGGTAAAGGGGCTTGCTGCCAAACCCGACTACCTAAGTATGGTACCTGGGACTCACTCGTGCGAAATGAGGAAACTGACTCCCACAAATTATTCTCTGGCTTCCATACATGTACTAGGGTGTGTGTCGGCCAACATGTGTGCACACACAATAGAATACCATAAAACATTTTTAGTTTGGTGGTGGTGGCACACATCTTTAATCTCAGCACTTGGGAGGCAAAGGCAGGTGGATCTCTCTCTGTGAGTTCAAGGCCAACCTGATCTACAGAGCCAATTCCAGGACAGCCAGGACTACACAGAGAAACCCTTTCTCAAAAAACAAACAAACAAAAAATAATGTATATAGCTAATTAAAAACACCAATAAAAAAACACCCCTCCGGGTCGAACTCTTCCCCTGCATGGGTTCTGAGTCTTGGCCCCAGAAACAAAACAAAAACAAAAACAAAAACAAAAAAACACCCCTCCCACACCCAGCTGGTAAACACTTGATCATCTGAGCTTCAAGGTCAAGCACCTCTGAACTAGGTACCAAGACCCTCAAATGAAACCACCTTTAATCCAGATACATGGAATTTCCAGCCTGAATCTTCATGTCAACCCTAATTAAGCATCAGTGTGACTAGCCTTGGATACCCCACTCTAGATAACCTATTCTAAACACCATCTCCTTATATAAGAAACCATATATAGCAGGTAATCAAATCTTAGCAACTAGGTTTTAATTTTCCTAAAATAGCATGAATTTTTTTCTATGTAGCTCAAATTCTAATTGGTTTCTCTTTTTTTAAGATTTATTTATTTATTAAGTTTACAGTGGTCTGCCTGCATATGTCCCTGCACGCCAGAAGAGGGCACTGTATCTCATTACAGATGGTTGTGAGCGGCCATGTGGTTGCTGGGAATCGAACTCAGGAAGAGCAGCCAGTGCTCTTAACCTCTGAGCCATCTCTCCAGCCCTCTAATTGGTCTTAATAATAAAAACCCAGAGTCAGATACAGCGGTTAATGCTGGAAGATCAGAGAAGCAGAGCAGTCAGTCACCAGAAAGTTCTCTACCAATGCTCAGACCAAAGGGATCATCCCGTCCTCAGACTGCCTGCTCAGACTGCACTGAGTTCCTGTCTCCTCCTGCCTTATATTATTCTCTCCACCCACCCATATCATTCCTGTCTCCACCCCCTAGTGCTAGGATTAAATAAAGGCATGTGATTCCAAGTGTTGGGATCACTTTCTTTTCTTTTCTTTTTTTCTTTTTAGTTCTTTTATTTTTTTTTCCTTTTTGGTTTTTTGAGACAGGGCTTCTCTGTGTAGCTTTGGTGCCTATCCTGGAATTAGCTCTTGTAGACCACGCTGCCCTTGAATTCAGAGAGATCTGCCTGTCTCTGCCTCCTGAGTGCTGGGATTAAAGGCATGTACCACCACCAATAGCTTTTTTTAAAAATTTTTTTTCTTTTCAAAGTTTATTTAAATAATGTATTTTCTGCTTTGTTTGTTTATTTATTATGTATAAAATGTTCTGCCTGCATGCCAGAAGAGGACACCAAATCTCAGTATTAATGGTTGTGAGCCATCATGTGAAAAAAAAATGAAATTTATGCCCTGGCAATGCTGAAGCATGTATGAACAGCCCAAATATGGCAGTTCTGTTGAACTTGTCCATATTAGGTTTCATGGTCTAAGTTAGTGAGGACAATTGACCAGGTCTCTTCCTCAAGAGGGCACCAGACCTCATTACAGATAATTGTGAACCACCATGTGGTTGCTGGGAATTGAACTCGGGACCTTTGAAAGAGCAGGCAGGGCTCTTAACTGCTGAGTCATCTCTCCAGGCCTGAGTTCAAATCCCAGCACCACATGGTGGTTCACAACCCCCTATAGTAGGATCTGATGCTCTCTTCTGGCATAAAATCATACATGCAGATAGAGTACTCATATACATAAATAAATTAAAAAAAAAGAATCTCCTAGCTGTGGGATGATTGTGGCCAGGCATGATGATACATACCTTTAATCCCAGCACCTGGGAGGCAGAGTCAGGCTGATCTCTGTGAGTGCCAGGCCAGCCTGATCTACTGAAAGGAGGTGGGTGGCATATTTTTGATGTTACCCTCTAGCCCTGCCCCCGACACACACAAAAGAAAAAGGTGGGAGAAATACCATTCAGACAAAAGACCAAGACTTAGTTCCTTCGATCTGTCTGTTATCTTAGACAACCAGACACCTACGCCACTCATGCCAATCGAAACAAAAAAGTCTTGCATGGCACCAATCCCTGAGCCCCTAAACCCACTGGTCTTTGAGTCTGAAATTCAGCCAGCCCTCACCCTGGAAATCTCCACCCTGGAAAACACCGGCGCTAAGAAACCCTATATAATCTTGCCTCCTGCTCAGTTCTCTGCTGCTTCCTGAGGAACGGAGGCTCACCTTCTTGTGTCTTTCCCAATAATCTTTTCTGTGACGTTTCTTGTGCAGTGTGACTCTGGTATCCCAGCTGCCAGGATACCTTTCCCTTCAGAGCTGTAACACCTGGACAAGGGAAACCTCTCCTTTCTATTCAGCAACAGTGATGCAATTTAGAGTTAGATGGTGTTTGAAACAAGGGAGCAAGCTTCTCAGTGTTTTCAAATTGCTAGCCTGTTCATTCAAGGTCCATAAGTCAGTATTCCCAGGAATTCTCAGAGGACTCAAGATTGTGAGCAAATCTTTCCACTCTCTGCAATTTGAATAGCTGAAACTCTCGAGGAAAGAATCACCATGGATTGGAGAGATGGTTCACTAGTTAAGATCTCTGGCTGCTCTCCCAGAGGATCCAGGGTTCAGTTCCCAACACACATGACAACTTAGAACTGTGTGTAACTCCAGTCCCAGGGGATCTGACATCCTTTTCTGGCTTCTGTGGACATCAGGCATGTACATGGTATACAGACATGTATGCAGGCAAAACATTCATGCACAAAAAAATACAAATTAGGGGCTGGAGAGATAGCTCAGAGGTTAAGAGCACTGGCTGCTCTTCCCCAGGTCCTGAGTTCAGTTCCCAGCAACCACATGGTGGCTCACAACCATCTGTAGTGAGACCAGAGGCCTTTGCTGGTGTGCAGGCATACATGCAGACAGAGCACTCATATACATAAAAATCATTAAATAAATCTTTTAAAAATACAAATTAAACTAAAAAATTATTATGAAAGAAAGAAAGAGAGAGAAGAGAAGGAAAGCGGCTGGAAAGACGGCTCAGCAGTCAAGAGGACTTGCTGCTTTTGCAAAGGACCTGGGCTCAGTTTCCAGCACCCACCTGGTGGCGCCCAACCTTCTGTAAAACTTCAGTTCCAGGGGATCTGACACTCTCTTCTGACCTCTGAGGATTCAGCTAGTTGGTATGCCCATGGTGCACAGACATACATGCAGGCAAAACATGTATACGTATAAAAATTTAAGATCTTTTTTTTTCTCTCGGTTTCTTTCCAGACAAGGTTTCTCTGTGTAGCCCTGGCTGTCCTGAAACTCAATCTGTAGACCAGGCTGGCCTTGAACTCAGAGGTCCCACTGCCTCTGCCTCTCAAGTGCTGGGATTAAAGGTATGCACCACCACCACCTGGCTTCAAAAAAATCTTTTTCAAAAGAATAGGAGCCGGGAGGCAGAGGCAGGAGGATCTCTGTGAGTTCGAGGCCAGCCTGGTCTACAGAATGAATTTCAGGACAGGCTCCAAAACTACTCAGAAACTCTGTCTCAAAAAACCAAAAAAAAAAAAAAAAAAAAAAAGGGGGGGGGTGGATGGGTCAGTGGTTAAGAGCATTGCCTGTTCTTCCAATGGTCCTGAGTTCAATTCCCAGCAACCACATGGTGGCTCACAACCATCTATAATGAGGTCTGGTGCCCTCTTCTGGCCTTCAGGCATACACACAGACAGAATATTGTATACATAATAAATAAATAAATATTAAAAAAACAAAAAAAAACCAAAAAAAGATTAAAATACAATGGCAGTATTCACAAAGAATTACATCATATGGGAATAGTCAATGAAAACATAACATCAAGTTCTGATATCCCAGTACGGTAGCTGCCTCTCATGGAATCGCATATGGATGCTGCACATTTAAGGGCCTGTTTTATATTTAAAACGTGGAATACTTTGAAAGCGTGTTCAAAGGACCCACACAAAGTACAGCATGTATGTAAACTCATTAGGGGACATTTGTCTTTAAGATTACATTTTCTTGTTGGCACATACCTTGAATACTAGATGGAGGTAGCTGGATCTCTGAATTCAAGGCCAGTCTGGTCTTCAGATCAAGTTCCAGGACAGTCAGGGCTACACAGAGAGTCCCTGTTTCAAAAAAAAAAAAAGCCTTTTCTTGCGTTTTCTTTCTTTCTCCCACCCTCTTCCTCTTCCCTCTTTCTCTCTGAAGCTGAGGGTGGCCTTGAACTCCTGATCCTCTATCTCTGGAGTGCTGGGAGGTGTGGGTAACCAGTGTTGAGGAGGGAACCCAGGACTTCGTGCATGGTTAACAAGCACTCTATCAGCCCCGGATCCCAAATCTGTCAACTTCCAACCAGCCAAGTGGATATTGTTCCCCGAAGAGCCACAGCTTTGCTTTCTGCCTCTGTGGTGAAACCAGGAGTCCTCCAGTTTCTGTTACCCTGAGCCAACTAACCCTGTCAGCCATGTCCAAGGAAAGCCACTGCTCTTGGCAGTGACTCAACACCAGAACCAGGATCTGTAGAGACAGATGTCATGATGGGACAGGCATGTCACCCCAGTACTGGGAAGACTGGGATGGGAAGAACACAGGTTCCAGACCACCTGGAGCTATACAGTGAGGCTCTCACTGTTTCTATTTTTTTTTACTTTAGATGTTTATATTGATTTATTTTTGCTTGTGTTTATATATGGGCACAGTGCATTCCATGGCACACAAATGGAGGTCGGAGAATAACTCCTTCTGCTATGTGGTTTCTGAGCATGGACTTGTCAGATCTGGCAACAAGAACCTTTGCTCTCTGAGTCATCTCTCTGGCCCCTGACTGTTTTATCTGAATGGGGGTGGTGGTGGTGAAGAATGAACTTGTCAGCCTCAGATTAAACTACAGGCCTGTCTCAATTTCTGCCTGCCACCAATAAACTCAGACCAGCCACTCACTGGAGTGCTCAGCCTATCACCTCCAATCAAGGTATCTAGAACACATTCTGTACACACACACACACACACACACACACACACACACACACACACACACAGAGAGAGAGCCCATTGTAAACTGGATGTCATGTCACACCAGCTGGACCACAGAATGTCAGCCTCCCCTGGAGGACTAGCATTGAATTCCAGATTAAAATGCTCCCTGCTACCAAAACATTGGGCTAGAGATCCTGACCTCTGAATATCCCCAAGAGATTTGACTTGGCCTCAGGTCAAGAACCTGTCCTGGTCTCTGTTGAGTCCCAGAGAAAGTCAGGAGGAAGCACGTGTCTCCCCTCTGGTGGCCAATTCTGGAAGAGCAGTCTCGGTAGTTCTTTTGAACTCCTGGTCTACCCAAGGTGTTATAGGCATGAAGTCTGGGGGCCACCTTTGTCTGGTCCCTTCCTGTCAGTTCTCACACATACCTCCAGAATTTGTCTTTCTACTTTTCTTTTCAGTATCTCTTTCCACTCCACATCTCTCTTATCTATACTGGCTAAGATTTATTCTCCTGATCTTAAGCCCTGCAGCCTACGTCCCATGGGACCCCACAAGACTCCCAGGCTTGACTGATTTGATGCTAAACTTGAGATCACAGAGTCTTGCCCCTACTCCCCATCATTCTACTGCTGAGGGTTTTTTTTTTTTTTAGAGTCAAGGTCTCTGCTGTGGGTTAGATGAGCTTTTGTTGTTGTTATTTTGGTTTGGTTTTGGTTTTGGTTTTTTCGAGATAGGGTTTCTCTGTATCTTTGGAGCCTGTCCTGAAACTAGTTCTTGTAGACCAGGCTGGCCTCAAACTCACAGAGATCCACCTGCCTCTGCCTCCTGAGTGCTGGAAATAAAGGCATATGCCACTGTTGCCTGACAGATTAGCAGGTTTTTTTGTTTGTTTGTTTGTTTGTTGAGACAGGGTTTCTCTATGTAATCCTGACTGTCCTGGAACTCACTCTGTAGACAAGGCTGGCTTCAATCTCAGAGATCTGCCTGCCTCTGTCTCCCAAGTGCTGGGATTAAAGGTGTGTATCACCACAACTTTAGAGGTTGCCTGAGCCACCTCTTGAGGCCCTCAATGTTTTTAAAAAGTGAATTTTGGAGTTGGGAGTGGTGGTGGTGCATGCCTTTAATCCCAGCATTCGGGAGGCACAGGCAGGCGGATCTCTGTGAGTTGCCTGGTGTACATAGTGAGTTCCCGGACAGCCAGGGCTGTGTAGAGAGACCCTGCATAAAAAAAAAAATGGGGCTGGAGAGATGGGTCAGTCGGTCACTTGCTTGCACCCTAAGCATAAGGACTCGAGTTTGGACCCCAGCAGTCATGTAAGATGCCAGGCCTGCTGGCATAGTCTGTAATCCTAGCACTGGGGAGGCAGAGACAGGAAGATTTGGCTGGTTTTGCCAAATAAGTGAGCTCCAGGTTCAGAGACCCTGTTTCAAAAAACAAGGCTGAGAGCAATAGGAAAAGACTCCTGACTTCAGTTCTGGCCTCCACAGGCATGTACATACATGGGCTTGTGCACTCTCACAAACATTCACATACAAGACACACATATGAATTAAAAGGAACAATTCTTTTACCAAAATAGAATCTTTTTGGTATACATTATCAAAGACCTGGGGTGGCAGCTGCCGTCTCTAATCCTAACATTTGGGAGGCTAAGACACAGGACTGTCATGAACCTGAGGCCAGCCTGAGATACACAGTGAACTTCAGGCCAGCCTGGGTTATACAGTCACAAACCATCAAACAAACAAACAAACAAACAAAAACCCAAAATGGTCATTATTAAAATGAGGGGTGCTGACTACCTCAGTTGGTAGACTGCTTATCCAGTGCATAAAGCCCTGGGTTCAACTCCCCCAGCCTGACAGAAACCAGGAGTGGTGGCACAAGAGGCAGAAGGATCAGAAGTTCAAGGCCATCCTCAGCTGCCTAGACTCCAAGGCCAGCCTGGGCTCCCACCTCTTTGTATATGGACATATATGTATAGATATGTATAAACATATAGTCTTGGCTGTCCTGAAGCTCACTATGGAGACCAGGCTGGCCTTTGAGGCCTCATAGAGCTCTGCTTACTTCTGCCTCCTGCCTGAGTGCTGAGATTAAAGGTATATGTGACATGTCGCTTAACATTTATGTAAACATGAGTAATGAGTATTACACACCTCCTTCATATGGAGTCTCTGAAGTCCGCTGTGTTTCACATCCAGAATGCATGTTTCTCACTCTGTGTGTGTATACACGTGTGTGTGTGTACACATATACATGTAGGTACCTGAAAACCAGAAGAGAATGTCAGATCCTCCGGAGCTGGAAGTCTGAAAGCTCTAAGAAGTCTGAAGTGGGTGCTTGAAGTCCAGCTCAGTCCTCTGGAGGGCAGCTGAGTTCTTAGCTGCTGAGCCACCTCTCCAGCCCTGGGGCCTCCACTCAGAGCAACAGCTGCAGCAGCCTTGCCTCAGGCACACACTTGTCACGCTGGGCTGGGCTGGAGACTTGCATGCCTGAAGCAGGCTGGGTGCTCGATGAGCCCTTGCTGCAAACCACTGATGACTGAAGGGCACAGAAGGGAGGAGACGTTGCTGGGTGACACAAGGGGATGGGAGGAAAGTGGGCACTGCAAGGCCTTGGGGACCTCACTCCCAGATCTTCCAGAAATGTCACCACAACCTCAGTGAAGCTCCAAGCCACCCAATCAAGAGCAGTTTCTCAACCCGTCTAGGCACCTTTTGGCTCATTTGATCACGGTGTGCCTTCCTGACCATGCCTGGGTCTCTGCCATCAGGGTTCCTGTATAGTAAAATCTGCATGCTCCAGGGCCGGGGCTAGCTTACACAGTGGCATGCTTGCCTAGCGCTGTCTGCACCAGGTATGGCGGCAGGTTGGGAATGCCAGCCCCTGGGAGGTAGAGGCAGGATGATCAGGAGTTTGAGGCCAGCCTGGGCTACCTGAAACCCTGAAACAAAAACAAAAACAGTTACTAATTCAAGTTCTTCAGGGTAAAAGTCAAAGCCCCCTGTAGCCCCCAACCTCCCTCACCAAGCTCTCCAGGGCCTCACTGCTCTCCTTCCTGGCACTGCTCTCTGTGCCCAGAACACTGGTCTTTAAAGGATGGGCAGCTGCTCCATCACTGCTCAGGCTCACTTACCCTCTCTGGGAGGCCTTCTTTGACCAGCATGGTCTCGCTTTGTAGCTCTGGCTATGTAGGCGTAGAACAGGCTGCCCTTGAACTCACCAAGATCCACCAACCTCTCTAGTGCTGAGACTAATGGCATACACCATCACACTTGGCAACCTTTGTTTTATAGTATTCTGCTTGCGTATATGCCTGCAGGCCAGAAGAGGGCGCCAGATCTTATTACAGATGGTTATGAACCACCATGTGGTTGCTGGGAATTGAACTCAGGACCTCTGGAAGAACAGCCAGTGCTTTTAACCTCTGAGCCATCTCCCCAGCCCCCCTTTGTTATTTTTAGAGACAGGGTTTCTCTGTGTAACATCCTTGACTGTCCTGGAACTTACTCTGTAGAACAGGCTGGCCTTGAACTCGAGATCCGCTTGCTTCTGCCTCCTAGGTGCTGGGATTAAAGGTGTGTGTCACCACTCGGCTAAATTTTATTATTTTTAATTATGCGTGTGTGTATGTGTGTGTGTGTGTGCGCGCACGCGCGCGTGCACAAGTGTCAGCGCCTGAGAAGGCCAGAGAAGGTCCTCTATAGCTGGAGTTACAGACAGGTGTGAGCTGCCATGTGGGTGCTGGGAACTGAACCTGGATCAGTCAGTGCTCTTATTGGCTGAGCCACCTCTCCAGCCCCAGTTTCTCAGTAAACCCCCTCCTTACCTATAAAAGAAAAAATACTAGGAAACCATTAGCCAAGTAACAGCTGTAACAGCTTTATTTCCGAACACAAAGCCTCTCCCTGGGCATGGGGCCTGAGGTGGGGGCTCGAGCTGAGCAGAGCTGAGGGCAAGGACAGGCAGGAAAACAACAGACAGAGGGGCAATGGGTGAGGCAGGCAGGTCCTGACACCTCACACAGGCTCCATCTGCAGCTCCTCTCCATCCATAGGCTCTATCTGGTGGAAGGCAGCATGGGAGCCGATGACCACGAGGGTAGCTCCTGTAGGACCATGAGTAGCTCAGGATGCGTTCTCTCCCTGGCTCCCACCTCACCCTACCCAGACCCTTTACTCACCCAGGACCCAGAAGACAGCAGAGCCAGCACCTGCCAGCCAGAAGAAGGGGAAAGAGACGCCACCAGCCAGGGCGTACTGATGCGCTGGGCTCACCTCTCGGCCTGGGGACAGATGGTATTGGGCAGCTATTCCCACCTGACCCCCCCCTCCATCAATCTAGTGTCACAAGCTCTGGAACCTTCTATGTAATAAGACAGACTCCTCAATCAGAGCCTCCCATCCCTAGCCCGACCCCGATTCCCCAAAGAGCCCTGCCCAGACCATAACCACCTTCCTCAGTTCCAACTCAGCTCTCTGTTCCCACATCCCCTTAGGGCCCCAAGCCACGTCTCTCTCAGACTCATGTTCCAGCCTGGATACCAGTCTCAGGCTGGTGGCCCCATAGCCAGGTCTGACCTAAGAATTTTTGTCCTCTTTTTATTTTTAAAGATTTTATTTATTATTTGGATTATGGGTATGTACCCTGTGTGGGCATATGTGCACAAGACTTCAGGTGCCCAAGGAGGCCAGAAACTGGAGTTACAGGTGGCTATGAGACAGTCACCTTACTTGGGAGACTTGGGTGTTGGGAGCCAAACCTGGGTCCTTTGCAAGAATAGAATTCAATTTTAACCTCTGACCCATCTCTGCAAATCCTTATTCTGATTTAAAAAACAAACAAACAAACAAACAAAAAAGAAAAAACAAAAACCCTGAAGCCCAGGCTTGTTTTGAACTTGCAGCAATCTTTCTGCTTCAACCTCCCAAACGCTGGGATTATAGGCATGAGCTAGAGCTTCTGGCGTTGAGGTTGTGTTCTTTGCTGTGTTTCACAGGAATTTGGTTTGTGGGGGCTGGAGAGACGACCCAGCAGTTAAGAGCACTTGCTGCTCTTCCAGAGGGCCTGCCTTCTGGGTTCTTAACAAACTTTGTAAGGCCAGGGCATGGTGGCACACTCCTTTAATCCCAGCACACGGGAGGCAAAGGGAGGGGGAAGCTGTGAGTTGGAGGCTAGCTTAGTCTATGTAGTGCGGTTCTGGCAGGCCAAGGCTACAAAATGAGACCCTATCTCAAAACTCTGTGTGTGTGTGTGTGTGTGTGTGTGTGTGTGTGTGTAATGTGTGTGTGTGTGTAGAATGTGTGTAATGTGTGTGTGTGTGTGCGTGCATGTGTGTGTATAATGTGTGTGTGTGCGTGTAATGTATGTGTGTATGTTTTCAGGCTCTCCGACGTCTGGAAATTGTGTGTGCCCCAGTGATTACCATTTGCCAAGGTCAAGTTCTCTTGTACTTCAGGCACCCCTCTGCCCCAGCCGTTTTTTGCTGGTACCTAACTTGCTGGGCCCTGAAAGACCTTGTCTTAGGTTTCCTTAGCAAATCCGGGATGTTCCCCTAGGGGTCTTCCCTGACACATTTCTTCCCAGTGGTAGCTGGTACCAGTCTAGGGCCACCGGACCTACAGGGCTATTTCCCCCTCTGAAAATACCCACTATCTTTCAGGTTCTATCTAGGACGAAGGCCTGGGAAGGCGGATCTAGGCCTGCATAAGGTCGCCACCTGGTGTCCAGTGTGGGTACCTGCAGCTGATGCTTTCCGCAGGGGTTTGGGAGGGTTTGAGACGATTGAGTCATTTTACCCGAGACGGAGGAGCCAGGGGAGTCGGAGGTCTCCCTGAGTTTGGGAAGATGAGACTAGAGAGGAACACCTAGGAGGTTTGAGCCCTTAAGAACTAAGTGTAATGACTTTAGTGTACATCTCGGTGGGGCCGACTTTAGTCCCAATATTTGGAGGTTTGCATTCTGTGAGACCATGACCAGAGAGACCTGGGGATCTATTTGGGCAGGGGATTTCTCACCAAAAAGCACAAGCTTAGACTGCAACGTGCGCAGATAGAGAATGTAACAAGCTCCAAAGAAGACAGCCAGAGCCACCAGCAGCATGGGGGATGTCACCCTGGAAGAGCGTGGGGGACAGGAGTCAGCCATTTGAGTCTGTGTCAGCTGGGCCCCTCTAGCCTTGGACATCACATACTGCATTCTGGTCGGGTGGATTCAGGAGTACAGACAGACCTGGTCCTTTGGTCACCAAGGTGTGGCATAGGTTACTCGTGGGGGCGGGCCTTAACTATCGAGGGCGGGGCTGCAGAGGCACTCACACGCAGTAAAGGATGAGGCCCAGAAACACGAACACGTAGTTGCTTTGGTAATACTCCACATTGCGTGCCAGGCGCTGGCAAAGCTCGCCCAGGTTGCGGGGTCGAGAGAAACGCTGCTGGTCCACGAAGGTGCCCCAAGGCCGGATGGTCGCGCGGCGCCGCTCCAGCCACTCTCGGCCTGCGCCAGAGGGAATCAGCTTGGGCAGCAGGGTCCTGAAGGGTGGGGCAGATCAGCTGCAAGCAAGAACAAGGGGCCGGACCCCAGATCCCAGTACCCATGGTCCCAAGGATGACCTTAAACTCCTAGGGGAAAAGGTCCGGGGAGACAGCTAATACTCCTGAGTCCCTCCCAGGGGTTAGGGGCTGAGGAGACATCTCTGAACAGGAGAGCTCTACGTCTGGGGGCCGGGACTCCTGCATCTCGGGTCTGGGGGTTACATCCTGCTCGCTCACGTAGCGCTCAGCCCTTCCACCTCCGCATCCTTCTGCTGGTCCTTCTGGGTCGCCATGTCTGCACTGCAGTTTGTAGAACCGCTGTAAACAGCCTCGAGCCCCGCAGCACCTAGCGGGACCCGCCCGAAACCGGACTCTCCGGACGTGGCAGGGCTAGGAGCCCTAGGGGGCGGTAGTTGCACCTCCGAGCATTGTGGGAGTTGTAGTCATTGCGGCGTCAAGAGGTCGGTCTAACTCGCAAGATACCTTGGGAGATGTATGCTAAGAGCGCGGCGGGAGCCTCTTGGCATTGTGGGAACTGTAGTTTCACAGAGTGCAGTGTGGCGTCTCACAGGCGGGCTGTCAGAATGGTGGGTTTTATGGGAATTTGAACAGCTGAAACAAGCGTTCTGCATGATTTCGTGGACCATGCAGACCTGTTGTCCTGACTTCAAAGTGCTTAATAAAATATTGACCGCAGCTTCAGATATTCTGATTGGACAAGTCCGGGATG